TGCTTCATAAGCGATGATGATGATGATGATGATGATTATCATGATTATCATTATTAGTCTGTCCTCAGGTTTAAAAAAAAATCATTGCTGTCCCTCTTGGCATCACATCTTCATCCCAGGTAGGGAAAAAGGGCAGACAAAGCACACAGAGCATGCTGGTTGAATGCATCTTTTATTTTCATTTTTTTCATTAAGGTGAAACTAAATTAGCCATTTTAAAGTGATCATTTCAGTTCATAATACATCCACCATGTTGAACAACCACCAACTCTAGTGCCAAGGCACTTCTTATTACTCCAAAAAGAGTCCTTGTACCCATTAAGTACTTACTACCCTTTCCTTCTGCCCCCACCCTTGCTTCTATTTATTTATTCTGAATACTTCCACCTGCTTTTCTAGTACTTTCTCTGCCCTGTCTCTTCCGCTCACATCTCAGTGCCAGAGAAAATGTCTGACTTTTGGTCAGATACACAGCTACCCTGAACAGGAGCAACATTTACACCCTAAAACACAGAGCAGATACCATCATACTTATCCACTGGAAAACATAAGTATTCTTTTCCACATTTTAGTATTTTTCAGAATAAGCATCTTCTTAAACCAGTAAAATCTCAGATACAGTGAGACACAAGACATGTCAGGCACTGTCTTATAAGGCCTAGATGAAATGGGCAAAGTCCTCTGCCCACGAGGAGCTGGCATTCCAATGGTGAGGAGATAAGCAATTAACCCCAATAAATAAGTGACCAGATGTGGTGACACATACCTGTAGCCTGAGTTAGTGAGTAAGGCCCTGTTTCAAATAAAATTAATCATAAATAAATAAAAAGTGGATTGCTTAGTTGAGGGACAGTAAATGCTCAGTAAAAAGAAAAAGGAGAGCAAGATACATCCCATCTGGAGATTGAAGAGGAAGAGATTGCTATGCTAATATATTAACTATACTATTGACCCCAACACTTAGCACACACTTGACCAGGCACTGATGGCTCATCTCTGTAATCTTAGCTACTTGAGAGGCTGAGAAGGGAGGATCAGATTGAGGACAACCCAATCTGAAAAGCATTAAGATCCCCTTCTCAATCAAAAGCCTGTGTGACGGGGATAGCACACACACCAGCTATCCTTGCTGTAAGGTAAAGGCTAATATAGGGGAATTGCAGCTTATCTGTACACCTGGGCGGAAGCAAAACCTTATCTCAAAAATAACCCACAGAAAAATGGGTTAGAACACCTGCCTAGCAAGTGCAAATTCCTGAGTTTAAATCCCAATATTGCAAAACAAGCAAAACACAAAGTAACCCAAAAGATCCAAGAGTCACTTAGCTTTTACACTTTGAAAAATGTGTAATGTATACACCTGTGCAGAGAAGGGGCCCCACTGAAAGAGACATGGCAGTCAGAGAAATACCAACGCCAAAATGGAATACAGATGCAAAAACTAAGCTCTCAAGATGCTTCTGCACCTGGGAAATTCAAGCCATGGTCTGAGAGACAGCCAATCACTAGGGTCCATGAAAAAGAAGTCTGCCAATCCAAAATTGCCTCACCAAAGATATAAACACCACTCTTAGCTCTGGCTCCGTGTGCTCTGCTCCTTTGTCCAGTTGCCCACTGTGTCTCTCTTGTACTAGTGTCCTAATAAATCTGCCTTCTCTTACTCTCTTGTCTCAATTATTCTTTTACCCACCTACTGCTGCAAAAATCGATGACATTTAATGCCTTCTAAGTTAAATTGTTGATGAGGCTAAGCTAGCCTTGTATAGGCTGTGTCCATATGTTCTTAATTGCAACAACAACATCAATAAAACAACAATGTAATGGACTCTAGGCAAGCCCAGCTTAAGGATCATTCTGTTTAAATCTCTTTGTTAGTTACAGTTGACTGAACAAGAGATCCTATTGGTACTGACTTCCATGTGACCTCCAACATGCTATCACATCAACCAGAGCATCTCATCCCAGCCATGAGGAAAAGTAAAACTGTTCAGACAAGAAGGGATGTTGTCAGCTTCCAAATGGAGTCACCTGTGCCAACCCTTCCAAAAAAAAAAAAGACTCATAAGCATGGTTACCTGACACTGATGCCCATAGCTATCCACCTTCCAACTACACACGAGCCTGTACCCTAGCCTTTCTATCACTCTGTATAGCTGGAAAATGCCCAGATGCCCCTCCCAACTCATACCTCTGCTAATAGGCCTCAAGGTTATATCAGGCATAGGGACAGTACTAGAAAAAAAAAATTGTTTCTTCCTTCCTGATCTACAAAATGTTTCATTTGAAATAGCCAATGTTTTAGATGCCCTAGCTCAAGTCCTCACTGGTGTACAAAAAAAGAAAAAGAAAAAGAAAAAAATAGTCTATTGGTCTAGCCAAAACAAAAGGGCCTTAGAAAAGCTCACAGCTGCCCAAGGGGAAACCCATTCTATGCTTGGGAAGACTGCTGGTTTGGGGGTTAATAGATCAGACCAAGTTCAAACTAACATTCATTAATTAACTCAAGTCCTCAACTTAGAAAATGAGCCACCCAAGGATTACTCTCATGGAAAAACACCAAGTCATGGTCAGCCAGGAAGTTTTATCCCCTTCCTGGAGAGTCCGATGTCTATTTTACTCCTTGGACCTTGTTTTATTAGTCCTCTAACCAGATTTGTTTTTTCTCACCCCTAGGCCATAAAGTTACAACTGGTGCTACAATGTGGCTTTCATCCCCTACTGTGTGACCCTTTCTGTGACCCTCCATGTGACCCACAGTGCTTCTTAGCCCCCAGGACCTGGCTTCCACACAATTCTGTTATTCAATTAGATGAGCCTGCTGTGTCCCCAAGGACCAGAACATTCCAGAACCCACTACCAGAACAACAAATACACTGGCCCCTGCCTGAGCCCTTGGAAAGCACAGGATAGTCACATCACTAAGACCTTACCCATTTCAAAGCAGTTACAAGAATATGAGACCTTCACCCCACTAAAACCAGGCCTGGTTTTGTTGTCAGGGAGGAATGTGAGGGGAGGCCCCACTAAGGAGACATGGCAGACAGGGAAATACCAAAGGCCAGATGGAATACAGATGTAAAAACAGCTCTCAATATGTTCCCATGCAGGCAAAACTTGAACTATGGTCAGAGAAAGAGACAGCCAGTCAGTAGGGTCCAGGAAAATTGGAGATGGACAATCTGAAGTAGCCTTACTGAAGGCAGAAATCCTCCCAATTATTCTCTTTTGCCTACATGCCTATTGTGTTTCTCTTGTACCAATATCCCAATAAATCTTTGCTTTCTCTTACCTTCCTGTCTCTAATCAACTCACAGCTCCAGAAATCCACAACACTATGGTCATTTGTGACCATCCTATAAGATCTCAGGGTAGCCGGGCGCTGGTGGCTCACGCCTGTAATCCTAGCTACTCAGGAGGCTGAGATCTGAGGATCACGGTTCAAAGCCAGCCCCCCCATGGGACTCTTATCTCCAATAAACCACTCAGAAAACCGGAAGTTGCACTGTGGCTCTGGCGGTAGAGCGCTCACCTTGAGCTAAAGAGCCCAGGGACAGCGCCCAGGCCCAGAGTTCAAGCCCCACGACAGACCAAAAAAAAAAAAAAAAATCTCAGGGTACCCCAGGCAGGGATCACCATCTCCCTTTCATTCAGCAGAAAGTTGAGGCTCTGGGGGAATAAAATGCTTTCCTCCCACCCCCAACTCAACAGACAAGGGTCACACACCTGCCTGTGGGTGTTGGGGCAACAGGAGCCTTAGAACAGCCTTTCTTGGTTTCATCCCTCTACACAAACTAAATAAAAGTAAGTTCCAGGAAGTTCCAAGGCAGCTGGGGGGGGGAGGGGGGTGTCAGAAGAGGGAGGGACTGAATAGTAAACAAATGAAGGTCAAGGTTCAGGGAGGCTGTATTTGGCCCGGGAAGTCTCTCAGAGGCTCCGAGCTTTTGAAGAGCACAAAGTATTCACATGGTAATTTACTGTGTGAGTTCCCAGAACAACCACTTTCTCTTTGTGTGTCTTAGTCTCTTCATCTGTAAATTGGGGCTAATAACACCTGCCCAGTCCCGTGACAGATGCTTATGGAATGTAAAGCACTTTAGAAACCCGGTATTATTCTCCAGAATAGGTGAGAAATCCCCCCCTTAGCGTTAGAGCTAAATGCAGCCTTTTCGTTCGTTCAAAGAACACCTATCTCCAGGACGGGTGGTAGGCACTGTCCACACTACCTCACTGCAGTCCAGCGGGATCGTGGTGGTGTTGTCAGTCTTGCAGACAAAGAAGCTGAAGATCAGGTCACTGGGTTGCAATTCACTCTATCATTTGCTCATTCACTCGGCTTTTTATAAAAAGCCATCTCTCGGCCAGGCTTTGAGCCAAGGCTGAGGAGACGAGCAGGTCCTTCAGGAGACATGCCCACAAATTAATAACAACTCAGTACATGCTTCAACACACAAGGTGCAGTGGGAGCCAGAGAAGGAGCAAACTGGCTTCCTGAGAGCTGACCTCCGTGGGAGACCCTGCACAGCTAGGGTGCCTGTGCCCTGCACAGAGGTGGCAACCATAGGATCAAGGCGAGTCACTTCTGGTCAGGGCTTTGCTGTGTACTTCTAGGAAACGTCTTAGGCCTCTGAGCCTCGTCTCTATTAGAAAAAATTAAGAGAATGAGTGGGACTAAGATCTGACAGTTCCCGGGGCCCAAATCTCTGGCCACCTAATCACCTCCCTCCTCCCTTCATTTTCCTGTGGTATTAAGCTGACCCTAGCTTAGACTGGAGTCTGAACCCCGAAAGCCCAATAAAGCCCCTAGGAGAGCGTCAAACACTCCGCCCCAAGGGCAGCACGCAAAGTCTGGGGCGGGGCCTGGGATCTCATGGGCGGAGCTATCTCGGGGGCGGGGCTTAGAGTAAACAGAAACGTTTTATCCGACCAATGAGAAATCGGAGGCGGGGCATCCCCGCCCCTTGCTTTAAGATGTCGCGGGGCCCTGGGGCGGGACGCGCGGGTCCCGGGTCTCCAGTCAGTGGGCATCTGGTTGTTTTGCCTTCGGGAGCGGCGGCCACGGGGTTCGCAGGAAAGCGGAGCTGGGTGCGATCTGGTCTGGCGAGGGGAGCAAGTCGGATTCAGTTTTCCTTTGCCTGGCTGGGTTGTGAGGAAGACACGGTGTCCTACTGGTCTCCCGCTCCGAGGAGCCGCAGGCCGGGGTCCGGGGGACGCCCGCCCTGACCCTCCGCACGCCGCCTCCACCCGCAGCCAGCCCGCTGCCATGGCCGACCACCTGATGATCTCCGAGGGCTACCGCCTGGTGCCGGTGCCGCCTCCCGCCGCTCCGGCACACGGGCCTCACGCGCTCCGGACTCTGCAGCCTTACGCGGGCCCGGGCCTGGACGGCGGGCTGCGGCCGAGGGGGGCTCCACTGGGGCCGCCGCCGCCCCCACCCGGGACCCTGGCGTATGGAGCCTTTGGACCGCCGTCTTCCTTCCAGCCCTTTCCAGCAGCACCGCCTCCGGCTGCCGGCGGCGGCGCGCACCTGCAGCCGGTGGCCGCGCTGTACCCCGGGCGCGCCCCCGCTCTCCCCGGCGCCCTCGGGGGCCCCGCAGGCCTGCAGCCGGCGCCCGCCACCGCGGCCCCGCCGCCGCCCGCGCAGGCCCTGGGAGGCATGGACGCCGAACTCATCGACGAGGAGGCGCTGACGTCGCTGGAGCTCGAGCTCGGGCTGCACCGCGTGCTCGAGCTGCCCGAGCTCTTCCTGGGCCAGAGCGAGTTCGATTGCTTCTCGGAGTTGGGGTCGGCGCCGCCCGCCGGCTCGGTGAGCTGCTGACCGCGCCCGAGAGGAGACGCGGGCCTGGTTGCCCGCCGGACTCTGCCCCCCAGCCGCCCGGCCCGCACGCGCCCTCCGGGAGGGCGGACACGGCGGGTTTGCCCGCGGAGCCCGGCGCCGGGCTGAGACGCCTGGCTTGCCTCCAGACCCTGCCTCCCCGCCCCGAGGACGCTCTGGCATTTTCTCCCACCCGTGCCCCAGCGGGAAGGTGAAGGGGACTAGACCACTTTCGGACTCCGCGTTCTTGGATTCTGCGTCCTGGCTCTTTCCTCGCCCCTTTCCCACCCCCTAATCTGAGCCATGGCAGGCTTCTGCCTGATTTCCCGACTCCTCGTGCAGCTCACGACCGGGACTGGGTCCTCGGTCCCTCACTGTCGCTGGGGGAGGAAAGCTTGTACAGCCCTTAACCACCGCCGAGTGGAGCGATGCCCCATTTGGCCTCCCAAACCGAAATAAACCTGGATCCTTTTACAGTTTTGAGTTTTCCTTTTCCTTCCACCTGTATTCAGCTTTCACAGTCCTGAGGCTGTTGGAGACCTTCGTGGGCTATGAGGCCAGGATGAGAAGTCCCACCGTTTCTTTTGAAAATACCTTGAGTTGTGCAACTGTGATCTGTCACAACCTGTAAGGCAGAGGCCGCCACCGGGTGGCAGCATAACCCACTGGAGCTCCCAGCTCCCAGGTCGGGGGTAAGGGATGGGCATCTAGGCTATACTTGAGGATTAAGACAGACCCAGAAAGACCTGGTTCTGGACTACCACTAGTAGTATCCCTTCAGCCTTTCAAGGCTGTTTCCAGTCTCCTCTACAGATGCCTTTGACACCATGCAGATTCCTAGGCAGTCCTCAATAAATGATAGAAATGAGTATACTAGAAATAGGTGGCATTAAGTTTTTTCCCAGGCTTCATACCAAGCTAGCAAATGCTCATGTGGAATCGGTGTCTGGGGTGGGTGTCGGTGAGTGACAGGCCTGGAAATAATTTATCATGGTACTAGGAAGAAGTGAGGAGATCCAGAAACCAAGTGGAACAGCCAAGGTGCCAAGCCCAGAAGGAGGAAGTTTCAGCCGCTTAGGATGGGGCATCAGTTCAGGCTCTTGAGAGGCGGTGACATGTGCTGTTATGAGGTGAGGAATATGTTTTTAGGGCTTGCAGAAGACACTAGCAGCAGGGAAGCCTCCCAGTGCAGGGAATCTACAGAGTATCCCGAAGGCACAGGAAAGGTGATAGCTGTACAACGTTGAGGTCCACACAATCATTTCACACGTGAGAGATGTGGGGCGTGGCCCAGGACTCCAGGATTTGGCTTCAGTCCTGATCTCCAGTGTGAGTTCCTGTCTGCCCACTGTGGTTCACTCTGGAAAGACCTGGGAAGGAGGTAGAGGAGAGACTGAAGGCAAGGAGGAGCCTACAGGCAATGTAAGGCCAGGCATTAGGGAAGTCTGTAGGAGATGGAATCCAGAGACTGGAGAGGAACTCAAGGTCTACACTTTCTGTCCCTGAATGTTGAACTCTGCTCTAGTGCCAAGTCACTTGTTCTCATGACTCTTCAGCCACCTGTGAGTTTTCCCAGAGCATACTTTGTGGGCACCAGCTCTGAAGCCCGGAGGATGGGCAAGGAGTGGGTGTGAGAAAGTATTTGGCAAGTGAATAAAGAGCTCCTCTGAGACCTTAGGCCTCTAGGACAGGATAGAGACAAAGGAAGAGGGCCTTTTGGTTAAGGGCGGGCCTGATCTCAAATGAGGATTCTCTCTAGCTTCACCCAGACCCAGGCGGCAGACAGAAACAAAGGACTGAATCAAGATAGGGAGGCTTGGCCCTGGGCTTTCACATTGCCTGATTCCCCTCTTTCTTGGCCTCAGTTTCCCCACCTGTACAATGAGGATGATATTCCTGTCCTACTACTTTATTTTTTTTATATATTTTTTTTAATTTTTATTTTTTTGTGAACACACTGTACAGAGGGGTTACAATTACATGGGCAGGTTAATGCGTACATTTCTTATCAAGCATTGCAGCCTCCTCCTTTGTTTACCCTTCACATCCCTTCCCAGCCTCCCCCCCTCAATCCCCCCCACCCCGCCTTCCCCCCCCACCACCCCGCACCAACATTGTAAAGCTCGTTTTCGACATGACACCTTGTCCTTCTCATTGTTGCAACAGGTCCACCTGTATCCTTAAACAACTTGTTTTTCCCCATCTCCTCTACAAGTTATACTGACATCAAATATAGTGAAAGCAGGGGTTATACTGTGGGGGAGGGACATAAAAAGATAATCTTATAAATGCGTTAGAAACAACTGCATGAAAGGAAAAAAACATTAAAATACATATCTAAGGGTTCATTTTCCTAACATCACATTATCTGACCTTTTCCGCTTGTCCTGTCCTACTACTTTATAAGGCAATAAGTCTCATCATGAGTGAGGGACAAGTCAGGGGTAGGAATGATATGCAGTTGATAAACTCTCCAATTCTTCTCATTTGGAAGGAATTACAATGAAAGTCCAGCTCCTGCCCCTTTCCAGAGGTAAAGTAGAGCCTGAGGAGGAAGTCCAGCTGCCATCCCTCCAGGAGAGTCTGCTGTCAGCAGACAGGTGGACCGCTGAGGCTGGAGCAGCATAACACCTGCGGAAATTCACCACTGGGATCCTCAAATCCCTGACACTAGAGGATTCTGACCCTACTTGCTGCATTAGAAGAGAAGAAACAGAGGGAAAGCAGTGGGCTTATGGCCTCACAGCCTCAGCACCCTGTCCCAGAAGTTCTCTTAGGAGCCTGGCCTCAAACAAGCTCTGTTACCCCCTGAGTCTTGGTTCCTTAGGCAGCACACCAGTTCCAAGTCCAACAGGTGTTTCTCACCTGTTTCCCACGCCTACCTACCTGCTATCCCTTAATCCTATGGATTTTAGTGTCCTTCCTGGGTCTTTGGTGTCAACTGCCAGTCTATCATTGTTGTTGTACTATTATTATTGTTGTTTATTACTATTATCACCATCATCATTAACACACACATCTTATTTAGATTTTGTTCTGGCATCGCATTCAGCATATATTACTCTTAATGCCTTGTCTTGTTTATTCCTTTTTTCTCTTTAAAAAAATAATTTATTGTTGCTATAAAGGTGATGTCCAGAGGGGTTACAGTTATGTAAGTTAGGTAAAGAGTACATTTCTTTTTTTTTTTTTTTGTCGGTCTTGGGGCTTGAACTCTGGGCCTGGGCGCTGTCCCTCAGCTCTTCGGCTCAAGGCGAGCGCTCTACCACTTGAGCTACAGCGCCACTTCCGGTTTTCTGGTGGTTTATTGGAGATAGGAGTCTCACGGTCTCTCCTGCCCGGGCTGGCTTTGAACCGCGATCCTCAGATCTCAGCCTCCTGAGTAGCTAGGATTAGAGGCGTGAGCCACCAGCGCCCGGCTAAGAGTACATTTCTTTTTGGACAATGTCACCCCTTCCCTCACTCTCTCCCATGTTTTCCCTCCCATCCCCACCCATAAGTTATATAGTTCATTTTCAACATAGTATCCAGAGAAGAGTCAGTCTTTAAAGGTCAGGAACTAGCCTGGGTGCCAGTGTCTCACATCTGTAATCCTTGCTACTCAGGAGACTGAGATGTAAGGATGGTGATTCAAAGGCAGCCTGCAAATCTGTAAGACTCTTCAATCTCTTAACTAACCAGCAAAAAGCTGAAAATGGAAGTTTAAGTGGTAGAACACCAGTCTTGAGCAAGAAAGCTCTGAGTTCAAGCCCCAAGTCTGGCCCCAAAACAAATAATATCAATCAGGATCTGAATTATGACAGATAAGACATACTTTAGCTTTCTTTTTATTCTCATTCATATGCAAGTTTCCACAGACAGCCATTCTTTTGAATTATCGGTTGACTAAATTGTATGTTCTACATTTTTTAGAGAAAAGTAGAACATCTTGGAACCTAGTGGTAAAACTGGATGTAGTAGTATCACCACCATAGAGTTGCTACAGAGGTTAAGTGAGCTAATAGAGGTATAGTCTAGAATAGTGGGATTTGTAGCTAGTTCTATTATCTCTGACTCCTGGCTTTTGGGAACACTTTTGTCTTAGAGTCTTTAAGAAGGCTGCATTTTAACCAGTTGGTAAGAGGCCTCTTCAGGAGTAACACTGTTGCAGATTTGATTCTGCAGGAAGCAAACACTGACATGGGGTTCAGCTTGTAGAGATTTATTGGGAGTGCCAACACTATCTGCACTCCAGAAGGAGGGGAGGAAGCCAAAGAAGCAAGGGCTGGGGCCAGAGACCAGCCTTACAGGGAGCATGGAAGGTAGTTGGGCCCTTCAAGGTTAATGTATATTTTTTCATGTTCCCCTGCCTGTCAATCATCAATTAAGGGCTGTCCAGGGAAGTGGCATGAACATAAGAAGAGCTGCCCTCCCCAGCTCAGCCCTGTCTTAGAGGAGCTGCCAGGGGAAGGCTGTTGCCAATAGCACCTCCAGCAGCTAGAGTAACAAATGTATGAAAGGAGGCTCTGGGTAGCACAGCACAATTTCCCATAATTCCTAGGGGTGGGGCCTAGGGTGAAGCAATGTCCTCAGAGTCATATTAAGTGTTCCAGGGGTCACATTTGCCTCACCTTTGTCCCACACTACCACCTTCCCTGTTAAAGAACCAGAAGTAAGGATGATCCAGGTATTTCAACCTTGTGCTAATGGGCCATGGCATATTCTCAATAACTGAGCACTGGCATCCCCGTCATCTTTCCAGCTCAGCTAAGTGCTCACAGTCATTTGTGGAATAAATTAATGGGCAGGATGGGGTAGCCTTTTCCCAGGCAGCTTAAGTGGTTTAGCCGATTACTAAGTAATCCTCTTGAACTCGTCGATCCATGCTTGCCTAACTCTTCACGCCACATTGCTATTAGAAGTGCTGGGTCAGGATTAGTGGTGATGCAAAACCAAGAAGGACCCACTAAGTGCCCTTTCTCTTCTGGCCTCTCCTTTAATCATCACTTACCCTGTAAAGGGCTAGGCCATCCCAGAGAACAGAAAACATGGGCAGGACACTGAACGACTTGAAGGCACATACTGTCTACTTAGGACCCTTTGTTTCTCCAGGCTTAGTCTGACCTGAGTCTAAACAGAACGAGAGCAAAATCTCAGCCTTCATCTACTGCTCTGTGGTCATGAAATGCAGAGGAAGTCATGGACCCTCCTGGGGGCTCAGTTTCTTTTCCCATACAATGAGAAGAATAAGCCTAACACAAGGTTGTATGCAAGGAATCAAATGAGATTGGTTACTGAGAGTGACTTGTGCCTGGTGCAGTGCTGCCTGGTTAGGGTGGGTTGGGGATGGGGATAGACAGCTACTGTCTCCATTTTGCACCCAGTCTGGACCAAGGAGCTCTGCATACACTTTGGGGCTTGAGGTCTAGCCAGCCTGAAGCAAGCATGCAACAGAGTCACATAATAGATGACTTGGACAGGCACTGTTGAGAAAAAT